ATGATCTGATTTTTTCATTTGAATGTTAAACAAGAACTTCAAATGTTAGTGTCGTAATGAACAGGAGACATCCTCTTCAAGAGCACCATAAACATAAGAGGGCCCTCTCTTATAAAAAACCATCACGTTAAAGGGTTGGTTCTGAAAGAATCAATGCCTGAAATCCAAAATGCCATCGGGGAAAAATACACCCGAAGTCGCATATGAAAAGGACACAAAAAGAAAATTTGCGCAAATACTCATAGAAACCCTCACGTAAAAGGGAAACTTTCGCAAATATTCATAGAAACCCTCATGCTAAAGGGAAACTAGCGCAAAGATCATAATAACCCTCACATAAAAGGGATAATACTCATAACATAAATGCTTTGAAGAAAAAGCATCCGAGACTATACATAGTAAAGCGCGAATTGAACAATATGCGCGGAATATTTGAGCAAATACAAAAGTTAAAAGCTTTCATGGATATTCAAACGAAAGTAAGACTTAAACGATATTTGAACAAAAAGTATGTCTTTATTCACAAGAACGAGTGAAAACATTACAAGTACAAAATAAGAAAATAAAGGAAAAGCTAAACTACAGTGCCTCCGAGACCAGGAGGAAGAGAAGTATCTGCATTGCCGGAAAGAGTAGTTGGTTCCGCCAATGGCTCAGTACTTTCCCCAATTTCGCCTTCGACCTCATCGACTTCCGATCCTTCTTCAGTTTCCGAAAACTCATAACCGGAATCGGAAGAACCTGGAGCATCAGACTACGCCGGGAGTCCATTTTTTGAAGCCAACTCAAGCTGTCGGGCCTTAGCAATTTTGGCATCAACATCGATGATACCAGATTTGGCCTCTTCCAAGGTTTTTCTCCTCATGCTATACATAGAATAAGTTTTTTCAACAATGAGGGAAACCACTCGGTGCTTAAGTTCTTCTTTGAGTTGAGTAACCTCGGAGGAAAGGTTTTCCCGGGCGGACTTAGTAGATTGGAGGCTGACGTCGAGCTCGCGGATAGTTGAACTAAAGAGCCTATTATGCTCAATAGTTTTCATGTACTTCTCTTGTAGCTGGGCATGTTTCGCCTCCATAGCAGCAAGCTCTTCACTTTTGGAGTTCAAGGCTGCTTCCAAGTTAATCACTCTTTCAGCGGAGGAAGCCTCACTATCGGCTGCAGCAAGAACATCGTTCTAAACTTCTATACATTTGGCCTTGGACTCATCAAATCTAACCCTTGGAGGCCCAATTTCTTGGCTAAGGGTTGCCACTTCTTGCTCACTTTGCTGCAGACGAGCCTCCAAGACAGCGGCCTCAACAGCTTTGGTTTCCAGTTCCGAGAGGTAGAGAACAGTCTGGTCCCGTTCAACCAAAAGTTGATCTCGTTCATAAGTAAGTTCTTCCTTCTCATGAATCAACCTTTAAAGACCCTTAGAAGCAAGAAAGTTGGCCTATAAAAAAAGAAGAAGTAAAATTTAGAATACATTCATACTAAAGTAGAAGAAGTGATGACGGAAGAAAAGAACATACCGCTGCGGCATTGTGCATGGCATTGTTCAACAAGAACTCTCCTGAGAGTACCTAAATCTTTTCGCAGTCCTTTTTTGAAGCCAAAGATTTCAGATAATTAGAAAACTCCACCGGCCGGGACAACAAGTTGCACCCGGTAGAGACCGAAAGAGTAACGTTCCTCCTCCTTTGTCGATCTTCAGAAGGAGTAGCATAATTTTACCCCAAAATCCCATGAACTGGGGATTGTGGAAGAGGAACACCTTTTTCATGGTCAGGTGCGGCCGATGGAGATGTTGTATCAACCGCTGGTGGAAGAGTAGACGAAGATGGAAATAAAGTAGCAGTTGCTGGTATTGGTGAAGGCAGAGATAAAGCTGATGGAGTTGAAGAGTGAGAAGCAGCTGCGTCCAATGCAGTGCTGGTTGTTTGATGCTCGCCAACCAAAGACGGCAGGGACCCAGTACTCAGCCTCGCAGCACTAGTTTTAGCAATTGGGTCCCAAAAGCGGGAGTTGGCATATTCTACTAAATCAGATTATTCACAAAGTGCTGAGACGTCGTCTTCAGTTGGTGCAACTATCTCAACAGGTTGAGCATCCTATTGAGAGGATGAGGATCATCTCCTTCTATGTAAAGAATCTCCCTTATCAACAACTTCTTCATCATCATCAATCATCATGGTGTCTACGACCGTCTCATAAGGAGGACCAGTCATCATCGCCACCGGAGATGATTCGGGGGTATCCGTCTTTTCCGTTTTATTCTTTTTCCCGGCCGTGGAGGAGCATCTTCTCTTTGTTTGTTTATCCTCCGGCCAGGTACTCCATAAAGAAATATTTGCAACCGAAACAGGCCAGGAGACACACGTTCGAGTAAGTGCTTCCTGAAGCAGCCTCCCTACATCAGCAAGATCAGCCAGAACGTCCTCTTCGGGGACAGCAATAGAGCCCGCAGGTAGACCTAATTCCATGAACAAAGTCAGAAGGGTTCAACTAAGTTCTTCATATACAAAAATGGAAGCAAGGTAAATTAGAGTTACCGTGAATTTTGGCCTTCCACCCGTACTTAAGGGCCAGTTCTTTCCACGGACGAGTTTCGGGCATTGTGACGTCCAAAATATTTTGAACCCACCGGTTCAAACCTTCCACCACCGGTGGGAGCCATCAAGTTGCTGAAACATGCGGAGGGTGAAGAGGCGATACGGCTATAAAAGAATATCTAGTAAGAGGAATATTATACAAAGAACTTACGAGTACGGTTCCAAGCAACTGGAAAGGATGAAGCCATTGTCGGAATAATGTCATTGGTGGCAACTACAACGAACCGTTCCATCCACCCAAGATTATTTTCATCATCCATGCTAGACAACAAAGTATGATGGCCACGCTTGCAAACGTTTATCATTCCCCCGCAGAAGATTTTGGGGGAATAGAGATTCATCATATGAGCTAGGGTTAGCTCCTCTCCAATTTCTTAGCAAAATCGTCGGAGGCAGGCAATCGTCCTCCACACTGAAGGACTTACCTGTGCCAAACTTACCTCGTAGTGAAGGCAAAACTCCGCAATCATGGAATCAAACTCTCCGCTCAAAGAAAACACACCCAAAAAAAGGGATATGTGAAAAAGTATGTAAAACCTTCCTTAGGAAGGGTCACTCGCTGCGATAGATCGGAAGCAATGACTTCCAACTCATTGCAGCGGCAGTCCTCCTTCACAGCAGGAATACTGGAAGGATGAATGTAAGAAGGGTACCTACTATCAGCCCATATTCGAGGGTTAGCAGTAAGAAATTTCTCTTCAAAATCCTTCAAAGTACTAAGCCTCCTTCGGATGATGGAATCCATTGTTGGAGGAATGGATCCCTCGATTTTGTTCTTATTCTTTGAAGAACCACCACGTGTGGAAGAAGAAGCCATTGGAAAAGAAGAAGGTAAAGAGTTTGTGTTTGAAGAAAATTAGGAAAAGGATGAAAAACAAGGATGCAAGTCAGAAACTCAAGCAATTGTGAAACGTAAAGGAAAAGAAAGTTGCGTATAAGTAAAATTATGGCGGCTAAATTCATGGCCATAATTGCCTCGATAATCGGCAAAAGATATGCTGAATCATCGAATGATGCATGTTCAGGGCATTAAATACGGAGAGACTTGCGTCTAATCAACTGTCAAAGACCTTTAGAGGGAGTTATAGTAATTTCCGCCAAAAAGGTATTTCTACCAACTTCCCGGTAATACAAAGTTATGTCACCGAAAAGCAGGAGGACTAATCTGTATAGGGTAAAATATGATATGACACGAGGTTGACTAAAAGGAGGACACGTGGAATCCAAGATGGGATGGTTGAGGACCGAACACAGCCACTGCGCTTATCACCGGAACGGATAACGTTCATAAAAGTATATTAAATGCTCTGCGTCCGGTAGCATTTATTAAGGAATGTTCTACAACATTAAGAGCGATGATCTGTTATAGAGAATTTGTCATTTATACTCAACGTTACATATTCATCAATGACCCTCATAATTGGCATTAAAGGAGGGCATGATCCTAGGACCTTTTTTCCTAGGCATAGCTATAAATAGTGAGCTCAGTTACCATTGTAAAGGACATAAATTTTTTGGCAAGAACATATACTATACTCTATACAAAGCTTTATACAATTTCACTTTTTTGCTTTTAGATCTCATCATTGCTGTGTTCGGGAAGCGTCTTCACGGAATCATTATCTTTGCTATTTCATCTACATTCTAAGGCTAAGTATTCAATTATTATATTATTTCAGGATCAAATTAGTTCACTTGTCTAGAAATCACGTATAAATTTAACTGTACCGTTTTACGGGTAAACAAAGTTTACAAAGAAAGAGAATATATCAAAATTTTAATAAAATAGAAAATAAAATAGGTAGCTGCCAGGTATGCCCCGCAACCAGCACGCTGAGGTTAGGACCTGGCAAGGGGATCTTCAGGTATGCGGTGTCTGGCGTGCAACAGAGCTGCAGGGTGCAGCGCATACGGTATTGCGCGACCCCAGAACTCTGCAGTAGTAAAGAAAAAATAGGCCGCTGGGTACACGATGCACATCCCAGCGCGTGACATGATGCCTATACAAAGGAAAAGTCGAGCAGCCCTTCATTTTACCCAAATTTTGGCAAAGTATTTAAACTCTCCTAACATCATTGATTAGGCCTAGTTATTTTTTTAGCACGTATTCTTTTTTTCTTTTTTTTTTCACCCCTTTCAAGAGGTACCCACTTTGCTCCAGCAGTAATTCTAACTAGTCCTAATTATCATTGGATTACCTATATTGAGAGATATAGTTAACTAACAATTTGATCACTGAAAAGAAAGATAACCAGCCTGATATCAATACACAAGATAAGTTAAACAAGAAAAAAATGAAAGAAAGAGTGAAAAGGAAACAGAGATGACAAAGAACTGCAATTTCAAAAAAAAATCAAGAAAAGGAAAAACCAGGTAAATGAGCATCTACAACATCAAGTGGAGGATATGACCCTATTATCCGGAGTTGAAGCTAAAAAATCAAATGACAACATTGACAAGGATAAGACTATGTGGAATGATGTCCAACAACAATCGGATGAAGAGGTTGGGCAAACCTCAGGAGCTAATGCTACAAAGGTATTAATTGATAAGGTTAATCCAAAATTGGGGTCAATAATTGATAAAAGGCAAGTTTATTAAGGGAATGAAAAATTCTATTACCACTGCCGAGGGATCTCAAACCAATAGGTTGATGATTACATGCTTGGAATCAAATGATCAGCAAATCGCTTGTGATCCTAAGGGGTCGTCAATCAATATCCATAATTCCTTTTATATTTTGGATGAAAAACAAGAAGTGCATAACCAAGGTTCTAAGTTTGAAACTCAACAGAAACAATCTCAAATCTTAGATATTAATTCTTAAGGGACCAAGAAAGACACCAACATCAGTACTCTTGTGAACCAAGTCAGCAAAGAAGGAGATCAAGAAATACAGAAAACTGACAGTTCAAAGGAAGATGATGCTACGGCTGATCAATTAGTCAAAACTTTTTCTCCACCACCAGATCTAGAGCTACATGATGTAGTCATCCGATAGGTCCAAGAAGTGATAGAGAAGGAAGTATTGTCCCCAAGAGGAGCTAAAATCCCAAACAAAAGCACCAAGAAATCTGCTACTGTACCTAATACTAGAGGCAGAGGTAGAGGAGCCAAAAACACCTTCCAATCTATTTCTTAATGATTAATACAATCATTTAAAATATCAGGGGTGTTAAGTCTAAGAGAGCTTTCCAAAGACTTAAAAAGCTTATCAAAAGACACAAAGTTTCCTTTATTTCTCTTCAGGAACCTTTTGTAGACAAAACAAAGTTGAATCATTATAGAAAAAAACTGGGCTTTCCAAATGCTATTGCAAATAGTAATAGAAAAATCTAGATTTTCAGAGATAATGATTATACCTGCAATGACATTAGCAACAAAAAATAACAGATTACTATAGAAGTCAACCACAGTATGATGCAGGCCTCTTTTTGGATTACTATTGTTTATGCAAAAACCAGTACAAGAAGAAGAAAGAACCTTTGGAAATCTATCAACAATATGAGTAACTATATCAATGGACCATGGTCTATTGGAGGTAATTTCAATGTGATCATGAATGCTAATGAGAAAAAAAGAGGCAGAATGCACACACTTAGTAAGAGTATGGACTTTATCAGATGTATGAAAGATTGTGGTATGGCAGATTCTAGCTACACAGGTAACAATTACACCTGGACTAATGGAAGGAGAAGAAACAATATGATTCTTCAGAGATTAGATAGAATTTTCTATAATGATCAATGGTCAGCTATCTTCCCAGTGGCTACTGTCAGACACTTGCCCAGAACAGGATCTGATCATAACGTGATGCTTTATCAGTGCACCAAGTCCGATCCTCCTCCTATCAAGTACTTTAGATTCTTAAATTTTTGGCTGGATCAACCTAATTTCGAACAGGTTTTTAAAGATTTTTGCGAAACTCAAATACAAGGCAATACTATGTATACTCTACATCTGAAACTCAAGAATCTCACTCTTTGTCTTAGTAAATGTTCTAAAGAAAGTGTTGGCAATGTATTTGACAATGTAGAAGAACTTGAGAAGAAGATTGAAGATCTGGAGAATAAATATGAACAAGATGACTGCGACAGTAATAAGATCAATCTTTATTTAGCATATGCTCAAAAAATCAAGTGGATAAATATGCAAGATTCTATTCTTAGACATAAAGCCAACATCAAATAGGAAGAAGAAGGTGATAGCAACTCCAAATATTTTTATAGTGCCATCAGACAGAAGAGGAAAAGATCTTTTCTGCATAGAATCAAAGATGAACAGGGTCAATGGATTCAAGGGAATGAGAAAATTGCAAAAGCTGCTATCTCGCACTTCAGCAACCATTTTTCACAACCTGATCAGAACAATGACATTGGATTTCTCAAAAGGATTGACAATACTATCACTTGGGAGGACAATCAAGCTCTCCTACAACTTCCTTCCGATGAGGAAGTGAAAACAGTTGTCTTTGAGCTTCATCCTGATAGTGCAGCTGGTCCGGATGGATTCAATGGAAGATTTTTCCATGCTTGTTGGCATATTATTGCTGATGATGTGCGTGATATGGTTAAGGAATTTTTTGATGGTAACAATCTGACTAAATTTTTTACTCATACTTGTCTAGTACTTATTCCTAAGGTTGAATCTCCTTCCATATTTTCTCAACTTACGCCTATTAGTCTAAGTAATTTTTCTATTAAAATTATTTCGAAAATTATATATAATAGATTAACTTATTTGCTCATTAGAATTATTTCTGAAAATCAAATTGGTTTTATCAAAGGAAGGCTAATCACTGAAAATATTCTCTTAACCCAAGAAATTGTCCAGGATATTAAACGCAAAAATAGAGGTGGCAATGTGATAATGTAACTAGACATGGCTAAAGCTTATGACAAAGTTTATTGGTTTTTTCTTACTTTTGTTCTGAGGAGTATGGGATTTGCTGAATCTTTCATTGAAATGATTCATAGACTGCTCTCTAATGTTTGGTATTCTGTTTTGATTAATGGCACTAGATTTGGTTTCTTTCCCTCTTCTAGAGGTCTTAAACAGGGAGACCCCCTTTCACCTAGACCTTTTGTAATTGTAGACGAGTCCATATCCAAATCCCTTAATCACCTTCATAATAAGGGTAAGTATATTGGGTATTCTATGAATAACAGAGGTCCTATAATCAATCATCTTGCTTATGCAGACGGCGTAGTGATGTTCACTTCTACATATAAATACTCCATAAAGAAGGTAATGAAAACTTTAAGGAGATACGAAGAAACTTCAGGGCAGGAGATCAACAAGGATAAAATCTTCTACTTAGCTTCCAATTATATTTATGATAGTACACATAATATGATTCAGAAGCTAACTGGTTATCGATATCAATCATTCCCTTTCAAGTATTTGGGTTGTCCAATCTATTCTGGAAGAAAGAAAATTTGTTACTCTACAGATATTGCCAGCAATGTTATGAATAAGATAGGAGGTTGGCAGGGCCATGTACTCTCCCCTGGTGGAAGAGCTACTCTCATTAAACATGTGCTACAATCTCAAACACTTCATATTCTTACCTCTATTACCACTCCCAAGATAATTCCCAAACAATTGGAGAGTTATTTTTCCAATTTCTTATGGGGCAAATCTGAAAATAAGAACAAATATCACTGGAGCTCTTGGAGGAACCTTTGTTATCCTACTGATGAAGGTGGTGATGGTTTTAAAAATCTGACTGACTTATGTAAGACTTTCTATACTAAAGGATGGTGGAGGTTCAGAGTTGCATACAACCTATGGGCAAACTTTATGAGAGCTAAAAACACCCCTAGAAGTCACCCTGTTGCAAAGGTCTTGGAATCTAAACATTCTGTTGTCTAGAAGGAAATGGTGCATATCAAAAAAGAATATTGAACCTTATATCCTATGGAAGATCAATGATGGTGATAGCTCCTTTTGGTGGGATAACTGGACAAGGCTTGGACCACTAGGTGCTTATATCAATGGTAACAGAAAACCTAGTAAAATGAAGATCAGTGATTGTATCAAGGATGGGGCATGGGATATAAACACTATTACTAGTCTGGTTCCTAATAATCTATTAAATCATATTAAACATATTCCTATTGGCGATAGACATATTAATGACATTCATGTCTGGACTGAGACTTCTAATGGCTCATTTACTTGTTCCTTTGCTTTTAATAGCATTAGGAAAATAAGGGATATAGATAATATGTGAAAAGATGTCTGGAAAAAGAATGTCCAATTTAAAATGTCTTTCTCTCTTTGGAGAGCTATTAAGAGTAAATTTCCTGTGGATGAAATCATAAAGAGATTTGGTCATAATATAGTTTCCAGATGCTCTTATTGTCTATATCCCAAGAAAGAAACTATTTCTCATGTTCTTCTTACTAGTGATATTGCTTTTCTAACTTGGAATTTCTTTGCAGGTCCTCTGGGAATTAAAGTAGGATGCCATTCAATTGTATATACTATAAAAGAATGGAGGAACGTTCAGAATAAGAATGATATCCAAAGAAAATTATGTCAAGTATTTCCTATCTTTATCTGTTGGGAATTATGGAAACATAGATGCTCTATTAGGTATGGAAACATAAATTCTACGATTGCAAAACTAAGACATTCTATTTTGTTTCATATGAAGGTATACATGAAGAAGATAGGGGCTACTGTGGATATGAAATGGAAATGGCATCAAATTTTCTCTTACATGGAAGATTATAGGCCAAGAATCACAAGCACTCCAGTTATATGGAATAAACCACCAGAAGGTGTGCTAAAAATAATTACTGATGGAAGCAGTAATATTACAAAGAGAACTGCGGGAATTGGAGGAGTGGTTAGGAACAGAAATAGAGATATGATCAGGGCATTTGCCTAAACTCTTCAATTCTGCACTAACAACCAAACTGAAGTACATGCAGCACTATATGCTCTTAATTGGTGCAAGCAAAACAATGTAACCAACTGCATCCTAGAGATGGATTCTCTCATGATGGTCAATATGATGAAGGGTATTTATAAACCTCCTTGGGAGCTTATAGATGACATCAAGTACATGACTAAAATGGCACAATCCTTGAACATAGAAGTCCATCATTGCTACAGAGAAGGAAATGAAATTGCTGATGCCTTATCCAAATTTGGAGCCAACTCGCAAATTTCTACAGAGGCAAAGATTTTCTCTCAAGTTTTTGAATTACCAGCTGAAGCAGGAGGAGATTATCAAATGAATAACGCATAATTCCCATGCTTTAGAATTAGGCATATGAGGAGCGGTACAAAGTCTAATGGTGACTGTTGGTGATCCAGTAAGTGGTTACATTAAGTGGTTATCAGTCATTGACTTATTTTGCTAATGCCAAGAACTTGTGCTGGTTCTTGGAGCCAAAACTAGAAGAAGAGATCAAGAAGCTACACAATGTGGTTGGAAATACAGTTGTGGATGATCATTACGTCGTCGTTGGGACAAGATCAAGACAGCTTACTCAGGATGCACTCTATGCTCTTTCTCCTACAGTTGAACCTGAATCAATCAGTGTAGTTTCAGCTGCACCTTTCTATCCAGAAGTGACTGATTTTGTGCGCTCAGTGCTGTACAAATGGGCAGGAGATGCAAGAAATTTTGAGAAAGATGGACCATATACTGAGTTCATTACATCTCCAAATAACCCAGATGGGGTTACTTGAGAGCATGTAGTTAATGGAGTTCAAGGGACATTAATTCATGATTTAGCTTATTACTGGACACAGTACACTGATATTACCTCTCCTGCCAAATATGATGCTCTAGATTCAAACAAGGAGTGGAAGAAAATTTGGGAGTGAACCAAAATGTGTTAGGATAAATATTCTATATCTATAGATGAAAATTTAGCTGATTTTATATATCAGTCTTTAGCAAATTATATTCTAACTACCAGTTCGTGATAGGTAGACTTTATATTGTATTTTCCTTTTTACAGCAATGAAAAAAAATATGGAATTGAATCTTAGATTTGAAATTTAATTTTTTTCTTTGTAAGTAATTTGGCAATGATGTATACCGAGTATTCTATACCAAAGCATGTTCTCATAATTTTAGGCTTAGGAGTTAGTCAGGAGCAAGCATGGAGCTTGGATTTTGTATCCTTCACACTTTAGATGAGCCAATTTTGAGTTGGAGGTCATGTTGATGTACTTTATTCTATCCTCAATTATTGCGTACAGGACAAGCAAGTTAGTGAGGGCTTTTTATGGTAAAAATACCTTTACACTAAAGGAACTAAAAATAAGAAATATTTGACGTAGTAAATATCTTCCTATTTATACTAGCACTAGTGGGACTGGCTCCCGGGGGAACGAAACTACCCTAGGTATTGGCAATGACACTCTAACAAGATCGATAGAGAGAGAAAGGAGAGAATGAAAAGAGTAAGTACGACGAAAAGGGTATGAAATATGTTGCTTGTAAAGATTGTGATTGCTTATTTGGTTGAGATTACCAGCCGACTTTCCTGACCAAAAAATAAAATAAAAAGAAGAATTTCCACCTATAAATACATCCTTAGTGATTCCAAGAAGACATTTCAAACCCGTTAAATTTTAGTTGTATATCACGATGCAATAAAGATTTTTAATTTTAATTTTCAATTTATAAGCAGTAGGTTAAAGATAACCTCCTTTAAAGTATCGTAGGTGAAATTGAGGGCTGCTTCAGCATTAGCTTAGCTAGCTTGCATGACGGGCTGTAAGGTGCTCAATTAATCGGGTGTCATTCCGTCCTTCTTCCTTAATCTATACATTCACGCCTTTTAAAGTGTTGGGATGATGGTTAAGAGTTCTTGCTTTTTAGTTTTCACACTAACTATTTAGAAGGCTATAATAATGTCTTAAGAATTAAAGCGGATAAAGCTCAACATTTCTCTAATTTGAATCGAACGTTGCTTTTTACTCCTTCGCCTTTAAAGGTTGGTTACATATAATATCTCTTACAACGCTATCTTAAAGTCCCAGTTGTGTAGGCAGAGGTATATCCCTTTATGAATAAATTTGATTTGGTGCCCACTTGTAAGAAGATTCTCCGCTCTGAAGTCCAGTCTTTTTTAAGTTCCTTCAGAAGAGCTATTAAACTTTCAATAGGATGTATTAGTGTAAAGACCCGAACGGTCGTTTTATGTATTTTATCTCTTTTTTCCCTTTTGAATTTTCCCGTATTGGTATTTTTAGTTTTATAACTTGCGGGGATGGTTGGTTTTATTTTTGGGAGGTTTTGGTTTGATTTGGAATAATTGGTTCTTAGTTTGGAAGCTTAAGCTGGAAAAGTTGACCGAGGTTTGACTTTGATGAAAATAACCCCCGAACGGTATTTTGATGGCTCCAATAGATTTATATAGTTATTTTAGACTTAGGCATATGCTCGGAATTAGATTCAGAGGTTCCTAGGTTGAATTGGCTCTTTTTGCCGAAAGTTGGCAATTTTGAAAGCTTAGAAATTTTTTAAATTTGACCATAATTGTAACACCCTGAAAAAATTTCGAAGTACTTAAGTGTAAAGCCCGATAAAATTTGCAAAAGAAAATAATGTTTCGCCGCGGCTCGGACTTTTTGGTTTGAACAATGCACTGGAAAGTAAACGAAATATTTTGGCAGAAAACGCATTTCTGCGGTCCATTATGCGACCGCAGAACCACTGTGCGGGCCGCATAATGGCCGCAGAAGAGAGGCAGGAAAGGGTCAGTCTGGAAGCAATTATGGGGTCGACTATGCGACCGCATAACTGTTCTGCGGTACATTATGCGACCGCAGAACAGTTATGCGGACCGCATAATGACAGCAGACACAAACAGATTTTTATTCGTTTTGATCAGCAATTATGCGACCTATATGCGGCCCGCATATTGATTATGCGATCGCAGAACTTGTTCTGGGGCTTCATTTATGGATTTTTAAAACCCGACCCTACTTCGTTAAATACACGTTTGGGCCATTTTTTAGATATAATCTGATATTTTAGAGTGAGAAAGAGCATCCTAGAGGGAGAAGGTATTCTTCAATAATTGTTCTTCAATTCTTGCTCAAATTTTGGAAAATTAAGAAGGAAAACTCACTAGGTTTTCATCCTATAGGTAAGATTCTACACCCTAACTCATAATTTTAAAATTATCTGAAAATGGATAATTAACAAGATAATATTTGGACATGAGAGTTGTTTATTTTACATGCATATGTTATCAAAGGGTGTAGGAAGATTGTTGAGCTAAGAATGGTAAAGATTGGGTTGTAGGATGATAAAAATCCTCCATAAAAAGACCTTGAAACCTTAATGCACACCTAGTGTTTGATAAAATGCTCAAATGAGCTAGAACCACAATCATCTTTCTAATTTTGATTCAATTTGTTATATTTTTACAATAGATTGAAGTTGCTAAGAATTCCGGAATATTTTAGAGTTTAAGGAAGCTCAATTGAGGTATGTTGGCTAAACTCTTCTCTTATAATTGAATCCCACGATATTCATGTAAATTATGTAAGTCCCGAGTGGTTCATTATAAAATTGGCTATTCCGAGTAAGATTGGGTTGAGAGATATATGTTCAAAAAGTATCCCAAATGCTTTATTCATGTTATGTTAATAATCGAGGATGTGTTAAAATATGGGTTGTGCATTAATAATGTTTCGACTTCAAGTCAAATTCAAACGAAGGCTATTATGCCAAATATTTTGAAATATCTCTTTATGCCTTAGACTCTAAATTGCTCACATGTATACTACACACCTTGATTTGAATTGTATTTCTTGTTGATGATGATGATATTTGAAATTGAAAAGGTGAGCATGAAATACTGAATATGGCCAATGTGCCAAGAATGATGTTACAATTATTGCCATTAGTACCAGTGAAATGAAAAGATGTGAAAGTAATATGAAATGCGATGATTGATATAAAAATATTAATATCTCGAATAAGACAGCCTAGTCGGTCGGGTAATGATCGGACACCATACCGCACACATGGTGGTGATTGTGCTAGAAATTATAATTGAAATTGTGATTGTGGTCGATGTCCCTAATGGATAGCCTAGCCGATCGGGTCATGATCGGACTCCGTGTTAAGGATGGTGGTATTGATATTAAGAGTAATTATGGTTGATATCTCTAATGAGATAGCGTAGCCGATCGGGTCGTGATCGGACTCCGTGCCGAGAGTACGGTGGTACTGGTTTTATGAATAATGGTATTGTGAATAATGATATTATGGACAATGGTATATCGATACTAAAAATCTCCCAACGTGAGATATGAAAATTAATTTGAACACTGTCTTGAATCTAAATTGAGGTTTGATGTTGATTAAGGCTTTCATTGATATTATGATAATCTTGTTTGTATTATTTATCATTCTATTGAGAGGGTTTTTAGTTATACATACTAGTACTATTCGACAGTACTAACATCCCTTTTGCCGGGGGCGCTGCATCTTTAAATGGATGCAGGTGGTTTTACAGTAGGAGATATTGATCAGTGATAGCACTACACCTTCTTCACAGCTGACTTGGTGAGCCCTACTTCATCCCGGGATCATGAATCTTTTTTACTTTGGGTATTCTGTTTGAGGTATAACCGGGGCCTTGTTGCCAGGATTATCATTCTACTCTTCTTTATCTATAGAGGCTCCGTAGACATAGTGTGGGTTGTGTATTGGTGTTGGAAAAGTTAAAATATATTATGTTGTGGTTGTATTACTTGCCCATTTGAGACTTTAAAAATGATGGAACTATTGGAAATAAATTGGTATTGTAGACGTGAACACCTTTTTATCTAATTAATGAAAATATGTATTATCTCCATTCGTGGATGAGTTTGAGTAGAAGAAAATCTAACAGGCTTGCTTGGTCGAGTTCACTCGAT